CATAAGACTGTAGATTGTTTATTTTGTAGCGTAACGTGAAACAAACATCTTTGATGTTTTTCCTGTTCTAGGCTTGGGTTGCTAAGATATCGTTAGTTTGACAAGACCTACTAATTGTTAGAAAACCCTGGCTTTACCTCCCTGACCACGGTTATCAAAACCTCCTAGACGTTCTCAAAGTCTCCATAACCAACCCATAAAGGGGAACTGCTCCAATTGTATGCACTCTTGTAAGTTCCACAGGGGAGTATACTTACTGGTAATATATTGCCTATTAGGTTAAGTTCCAAGTTCAGATTTAGGCTCTCTTCTGTTCATGTAAGGCTGGCCTCTTTCCTGGTCAGCCTACACATAGAGTAGTGCTATCATCTTTAAGAAGCATATTTATAGGAATGTGTCCAGGGACCAATAACCAGTGAGAAGAACACTCCAATCCATATCACACGAAGAAAGTTTAAGTGGAAACTAAATCAAGCTTGAAGAAGATTCTACACAAGGACATTTAGGCATATAGAAAGATGGGTTGATTTTTATCCATGATGTTTCCTGACTCAAATGAGTGAAGCTTCTGGGGCAAAAATTAAACAAAACAAAACAAAAAGCATCTAATTATGCAGAACAGAATAGACATGCCTTGAAATGAAATCTCCAGTAAGGAAGGCCTTGAAATGGAAGTTAGATAAACCAGAAATCAGGAATGTTCTTAGAAGAGTCCATGAACATTTAAGTTCCTTTTATGAGATATTATACACCCATAATAGTCTCAAATCTTTGATAATAACGTATGTGATTTTCCAAGCAATAGAATACTGCTCTAATTTTGAAGTCTCTTTCAGTTAAAATTGTTTGGGTGATCACAGAGAGTTGCATGATGGAAGGCATTATGTAAATTAAGAAGATAATTTTAGTCATCATAAATAATAATAATGATGATGAATGGTAGTGTCACTGAGAAGAAGTTGCCCTGTCATTTGTTAGCTCAGAACAACCAGCTGTGAGTTAAAAATAATGAGTGTCCAGGCCAGGAGACTAGAAAGTGGATGAGCCCATTTTAACCTCCAAACCAAAGACTTGGGTCAAACGCCTGATCTGGTGATGTGAGTATTTGAAAGCAAAGTGAATAAAATACTTAGCTCTGAGCTTTAATATCCCCCAACTGAATGCTCCTTACAAAAGGACTTGGTTTCTGAGCCTCCCGAGTCTTTTGGGGCCAAAGATATCAAAAACAAAGGAATCCTCAGTTCCCTGCTCTGTGTTCCCTGCTCTCAAAGAACTTCCAGGAAGAAAACTGAAGTCGGCGAACTGCTAAGTCAACAAGACCTCTTCGAAACACATGGACGTATCACTTATATTCACAAAATCCCTAACTGAGGGTAAATTAAAATGTAATGCTACTAGGGGTCCAGTTCATTTATGAATGAGTTTATCCAAATAAAAAGGCTTTACTATTATTATTTATTAACCACTTTATTGGTGGGCTCTTACAAACCTTATAACAATCCATCATTCAGTTGTTTTAAGCATATTTATACACATGTTGCCATCAACATTTTCTTTCTACTCGAGCCCTTGGTATCAGCTCTTCATGTTTCCACCTCCCTCCCTCACTCTTCCACCCTCATGAGTCCCTGATCAATTATATATTATAGCTGCTATTTCATGTCTTACACTGCCAATCGTCTCCTTTCACCCACTACCCCCTATTTTCTTGATATCGCTACTCCACTACTGTTCCTAAGGGTTTTATATGCCCTGAGTTCCATGTGAAAGCTCTTATCTGTACCAATGTGCATACTCCAATCTACCTAGATTTTTAAGGTAGAGCTCGTCATGGGAATGGTGGGGCGGAAGCATTCAGGTACTAGAGGAATGATGTGTGTTCTGTCAGTGCTATACTGCACCCTGGTTGAGTCATCCCTTCCTTCCATGCCTTTGGACGATTGTTGACAGCTGGGCTTTGGGTCTCCACTCCACGCCCCACCTCTTTCACATAGATATAATTATTTGTTTTGAATTTTTTGATACCTGATACGTGATCCAGTCGACACACTGTGATCACACAGGATGGTGTGCTTCTTTCATGTGGGCTTATTTGCTTCCCTGCTAGATAGCTGCTTGTTTAATTCAAGCCTTGAAGACCCCAGATGCTATAGCCAGGCACCATCCACTTTCTTTACCATGTCTCTATGTCTGTGTTTATTGGCTTGCTCAGAGTACTTCTCTTGGTAGTAAACTTATCTTAACCTCCTTTAGGTGCCTCAGGAAAACAAGTCTAATTAAAATAAGGTTTTCTGAGGATATGCTGAGGGCCAGTGACATTCAGGGCAGAGAACTTAGTTCAAAAGTTCATGATAACGGTTTTTTGAATTCCAAAGGGAATCTTGAAATATTTTCAAAAAGGATTCAGGACTACCACAGGGACTTATTAGGAAGAACTTTAAGAAAATGAAATCTGAATTGGTGAGAAATAGGCCAGGAATAGTGTGTGGACCGTTTTTTCCCCCCTATCATGACACTCAGTTTTCATAGATAGCATGTGTTGCCCTAGGATACTTTTGTTGGGAAACCTGATGTTATCCACTTTACAGCCATAACCTTGCCCTTTCAGACATTTTTTATTCCTCAAGCTCAAAGAACATTTCAAAGGAGCACAATTTCATTACCACAAATGTGCCCAAACTGCCATTTTCATGTGATATAAATTGAAAAGTGCAGAATTCTTCAGAGAGGGTGGAAAAGATTTATATATCACTATCAGAACAGGATGGAAGGTAGGTTGAGAAACAATAGCCCACAGTCTTATACTTGTTTTCAATAAAGGTGTCTATGATTTTGTGGAATTTGTTTAAACTTAGTCTTGTGTTGTGAAAGATAGGTGGTGGCGGGAGGACAAAGAAGAAGAAAGAAGGTGATTTAATAATTTTAGTCTTTAATTTTGATGTGTTTACCTTTTGACATGGTCCAAGTGTTATCATTTGGATTTCTTTAATAGTCATTTACTATTGCTTTAATTTTTCTCTTAAAGACAGTAATTACTATATTACCTTGCATCAGTCTTATTTTCAATAATTTTAATCCTATCTCTTTGAAATTTTCATTCTATTAGATTTTGATCTTTCCCACTTTACATTTTCGCTATTATTCTGTTTTCTCAGCTACCTGAAAATGCATTTTTGCCTCTTTGATATTAATTTAAATTGTTTGTTCTTTTAGATTTATAACTTTAAAAATAATTTTTCTTTGAATGATTTTGTGCATTCTATTTTTTCTCTAGGAAACAATGTACAGTAGCTTAGTAAAAAGAATCATCTATTATAACAGCAAGGATCTCTAATATTTGTCCACAAACTTTGACACAGATGCTTGTGAACATAGCCTTATAACCTCCACTAACTGGCTCTGTTACCTTGGGGACCGCATCTTGTATCTAGGCCTGTGGTCACAAAACATGAAAATGCTGATCCTTTTTAAAGTACCTTATCAGGCATTGTAATTAATCTTTTCCATTATGCATTCCAAAGGCAAGTAGGGTCTGATGAAGGAGAACAAAAAAGCACAACCTTCTCTCTTCCACTCCATATTCCACGTAGCAAGGTGACACACTCTTTATAACTGTGCTAAGAACCGGTAACATCTTACTGAGAATAAAGATTTGTCTGTAATAAGCTGACTAAGATTGGAACCTGGGTGGAACAAGTGGTTAAGTATTCAATTTTTAACCCGAGATGGTGTTTCAAATCCACCAAAATGTGTATCAGCAGGCAGGATGGGTGAACTGCTCTCACGGCCTTGAGAACGCTATGGGAACGTAGTCTACAATGGTCTACATGCTCCTTTGGTGAGTAGTAACAGGGGTTTTAAAAACGTATGAGTGGACATCGAAGATGTGACTGTTGGTCTTTCCTACCTGGAAAAGAGAAGAGTGAAGAGAATCGAATGCTGAAGGAAATAAGTAATCCAATAGACTAGCAAATTACAAGAAGCCCTGTCTCCATGATCCTAAGATCAGAACTAAGTGATGCCCAGCTCCCACTCCAACTACTCAGAACAGGATCACATGAAAAGCTCCTCGGTAGAGGGAGAAAAAAATGTGGAACAAAACTCAAAATAATAAACAAGATCATAACTAATGGTCTCACAGGAACTAATGGAGCCTCGGAGACTATGCCCCTTTGTCACCTTTATCGTGTGAAAATGCACTCAACACCCTTAATCTAATTTTCAGCCAAACAAAAGGTAGGTCTCTAAGGTGAATAATAATACTAGGAACGTATTTACTCCTTAGAATAAGCAACCAGTTTGGATCCAAAGGACATCATTTCCCTAAGAGCAAAGCTCAGAAGGTAGGAAGGATTTGGAAAGAAGGATGAATACAATGGAAAGAAAGAAGAGAAAGTGGGGTAAATGATGTCGCTTTGTGGATATTACAATCACTAACATGACACAAACTGTGTGTGCATTGTTGGATAGAAAGCTGGTCTGATCTGTAAACCCTCATCCAATTCACAGTAAAATGCTTTAATAAAAGAGAAGAAAGCCCGTGGAGCAATTCTACTCTGCACACATGGGATTGCCTTGATTCAGAATGGATTTAACAACAAATACCAAGAAGACATTAACCCATGGTCTCATTGTGAAGAGAGCACAACTTGAGCCCCAACTGACTTTAGCACTGACCCACCAAGAGTCATCTGTTCATTCTGGATCCCCGTTTCCTCCTTTTGAGACAGAGAGTTTTAGACTAGATTATTTCTATGAACCCCTTGGGCATTAATCGTCTATGAATTTACAACTTGTTGCTAAAAAGAAACTAGGAGCACGGCCTAAATGCCCATAAATATTGAATTGCTGTATTGTTATTTGTACCAGAGAATGGAAGCCCAGGGGAATTTATTTCTGACAAGAGTATCAACATCTCTCTAATCATACTTGTTGATGAAAGCAACAGGTTACCATGATAACATAAAGGAGTGTTAAGTCTGGCCAGGTGCCTGACGTACTTGCCGTTGATGACACCATCCGGGTTCAGCATGGGGATGATCTTGAAAATGAAGTTTTCCCTCAGGAGTCTAGCCACAGGGTCACTGCTGACCAGGAACTCTAAGGTCCCCTTCATCACCCAACTGGAATTACTCTCCCCTGGGTGAACTCGGGCAGTGATCACTTGGTATGGACGTTGCCCTGCAGAAAAAGAAAGAAAGAAAGTTAAAACTAAATGTGTTCCACTTTCATCAAAATATTCTCCACAGAGCCAGAATTCTACCTGACTGGCATGGCGCCCAAATGGGATGATTATTCCTAATACATATGATATGCATGAGTCCATTGTCCAACGGCCTCCATCTTCATGAATTGGAAATCCCAAGAGAATGTAAAGTTAGATATTAGGGCTATTACCTAAAGTATAAATTCTTAGTAATATTAAAAGAGGCCAAGAAGCAAATGTTATGAAGATTACCCTAGAAAACAATGGATTATCCTGGGGTAATCCAGTTGTACGATACGGATCTGAGATTAAACATTGTCTTTACCACCTAGCAGCTGTGAGATATTAATTTCTCTGAATCCATTGATCATCTTGAAAACGGGACCAATAATTTATAACTTCAACTGGTTGTTACCGAAACAAGACATATAAATCTAAATCACTCAGCATATTGCCTGCCATTCTATACATGTTGGTTCACAGCTCTCTCAATAAAAAATTTGTGAGTAAGTCGGTCCTCTCATTATCTATCTGAAAGAGACGTCCAGTATAGATGTAGTATATGTAACACTAAAAAAGGTACATGACAGAGTTAAGGATCTGGAAGCTCTCAAAAGAGCTCTAAAAAGTATTTTAGAGACACAATACTTTCTTCACTTCTCAAAGCGAGTCAAGAAATGGCTTTTTACTAAGTCACAAGGATAGACTCAATTAGAACTTGTGAATGCATTGAGTTGGGAACAATGAGCTTGCCTTCCCTCCTTTGCTGCTAGAAGACATTTGGAGTATCAACTTGTCGAGTCACATTCTGAGCCACTATCTGTACATAGGTGGAAATGTGTTTTGGTTGATTGATATTTTGATATTGATTATATGTTCAAGGGTGCTTGCGTTAACATCCTATCAGGTATTCACTAAGTATATTCTATCACCCTACCCCATTAAGTACTTTTTTCCCCTAATTATTTTAATGGTACTGAGGAAGCATTTGCTAAGCCCTAAGTTATCTAGTATCGCTAGAACACAAACAGCACAAGTAGATAGTTTCAACCAACAGAAACATATTTTCTCACAGTCAGTTCAGAAGGACAGAAGTCCAAAATCAGGGAGAGAAGGCTCTAGGGGAAGCCTTTCTCTGAGTCCACCTGGGGGACCCCCCCAATACAAGGACAGGCTCTTGTTTCCTGGTTCTCCCTCTGTCCTTTTGTCTCCTTATAAAATAAAATCTGATCCCAGTCACAGCCCAGAAAAACTTACTTCATGTTGAATCAGGGTAGTGACCTGAGTTGGGGTGTTGCATCTCAACCCGATCCCTTTACCACTGATTGGCTTGGCAGTTCAGATCACATCATGAGAGATAATTACATCGGTATATAACTACCAAACCACTGAGAAGCATGTCCAAGCTTTGACACATATTTGAGAGGCACATAATTCAATCCATGAGAATAAGTATAAATACTCCGGTCACTATACAGCCTAATATTTAACAAGCCAATAATTTCTTTCTGCCTCATTCAAATCCTGAGTTAAATATGGGTTATCAACCCTTACACAGTAGTTTTTAAGGGCACAAACATTGTCTAACTGTAAGAAAAGACAAATTAAAATAACTCTTTATAAGAGAACTAAAGCACAGATAATAGAAGACAGGGGGGTTGTTAAAACATTTTAGATATATTTACATTATCATCAAATTAAACAAACAAACAAACAAACCAAAACAGTTGGTTTTTCTAGATTCTACTGACATCCAGTGAAATCGAGATTTAAGGGAAATACTGTTGTTAGTTGCTGTAGAGTCAGCTCTGACTTATAGTGACCCTCTACCCAACAGAACGAAGCACTGACTGGTCCTTTGCCATCTTCATGATCATTCATAGGCTTATATGTTGCTCCATTGTGTATTTCCTATGCATTCCAAATTAGGGAGTTCACTATCCAAATTAGGGAGCACTATCAAGCAGTATTTCTATAAGCCAATGGGGTCCATGGAATTTCTGTAGAGTAACTGTTGGAAGAAAAATACCAGTCCTTCCTAGTCTTTAAACTCAGCTGAGACCTGGCCACCATGGGTGACCCTGCAGGTATCTGAAATACTAATAGAATGTTGTTGTTGTTGTTGTTAGGCATCATAGCATTGGCTCTGACTCATAGTGACCCTATGTACAACAGAATGAAACACTGTCCAGTCCTGTGCTACCGCACAATTGTTTTTGCATTTGATCCATTACTGAAGCCACTGTGTCAATTATCTCTTCAAGGATCTTCCTCTTTTTCATTGCCCCTTTACCAAGTGTGCTAGTCTGGGTACTTTAAAGAAACAAATCTACAAAAACTCATGTATAAGAGAGAGGTTTATATAAAGGTTAAGTGTGCATCAAGAAAACATCCCAACCCAGTGCTGTCCAAGCCCACAAGTTCAACATTAACCCATATGTCCAACACCAATCCACAAAGTCCTCCTCCATCTCACAAAACACACACAGTGATGCCGACTGCAGGAGGAGAGCAGAATCAGTGAATGTGTAAGCATCTCAGCACTGGCAGGGGTCTCCACACAGGTGCTTCAGCACCCAGGTCTGCATCGGGGTAGGTCCATGTGGCTTCTCCTCAGGGATGTCTCACAGGAAGTGAGCCTTGCCAGCCAGAACAGGGAACTGGCTAAGGCAGCTGCACCCTGGTGTGACCATCAGAAAGCAAGAGACCCGAGAGGTCAAAAGGCGAGGCTCACCGAGCCATTTATCTCTTCGCCCTTCAATTAACCCCATATGTGTTTATCGGCCAATTTGGCACAATAAACTAAGTACCTCACCAAGGATGATGTTCTTCTCTGGGTAGAAGGTCAGATAGCATACCTTTCAGTATCAGAGCCACAGGCAATCCACCACAGTACAACACAATGGCAGGTGGTGGCATAGATCATTATATTTTTACTGATTATGGTGAAGGAAATTCACCTCAGCATTTTGTCCTGTAAAGAGTTACAGACTCAGAAACCCACCCAAGGGTGCTACCTGTCCTGTAGCCTCACTATGAATCATAATCAACTCGAAGGCAGTGAGTTTAACTTTTTTTAGAGTCTTGTACACTGGAGATAATAGTTGCATTTTCCTAAGGGCAGATGTCTTGAGCATATTCCAGGAGCAGTAGCAGGTACTGGGGAGAAAAAATTGAATAAATGATGGCTCTTGTGCTCTGAGAGTCCATCACATTTTTCAGTAGTGGTTACACGCTGGCCTGCTAACCCCAAGTTCTGCCGTTTGGAACCCCCAGCAGCTCCTTGGCAAAAGGTGAGGCGTTCTACCTCGGTAAAGAGTTACAGTTTCGGAGAATTCCCAGAAGTAGTCCTACTCTGTCTCTTCTGAGGCCATTCTGTATGTCTCAAATTCTTCCTTAATTAAAGAGAAATGAGACAACTCCCTTGAGGGAACCAAAGAGCACAGAGCTGCCTGTCTAAAACACCCCTGGACAACACGTGTGTGACAAAAGTAAGAACATTTCTACAGAAATCAAAATTAGCTTTGAGATTCTGCATGAGACTACAGATTTACTAACTGAAGATTTCTGCATCAAAACATTGGTATGTGGGGGGAAGATAGACAGTAAGCTAGCTGGAAATTATCTGGAGGTCCACCTTTCCCTCCATAGCATTTTGAGTCACTTTTCGTTCCCTCCAAACAAGCTGCATTGGCGCTCCAGTACAAAGCTTACTGAGAAATAAAGAGGCTTGATGAATTTGTACCCAATCAGCAACCCATTTTCCTTTCTATAATTCCATATCACTCTCTTTGTGGTTTTTGAACTATGTTCATTTACAGTCTATCGAACAACAATCGTAAGTGCTTCCAGGCCAGCAAAAAGAAATAAAAAATAGCTTACATTCTTGTAAATTTTCAGCACCAAGTGAACACTCTCGTTATCTGGACCAGTTGGCTTCCATTGCCTGATAGCCTCAGTCCACTGCAGGGCATTAGTCAATACACCAAATACAGGCCCTCTCAGAGAGCATCAGCCAGGTGTGCTTTTCCACTGGAGGGAGGGTCAGATTGATCATCTGCTTTATTTTAACAAAGTAAATGAACTGGCAGGCTCTTCTGAACATCTCAATAAAGCAAATGGAGAAAATTGTGGGTTCTCATGAAGACATGTAAGTCATTTCCCAGTGATTTTCCTCTCTCCCTTTGTGTAATTTAAGACAATTTTCTAGGCATATAGTGAGCTAAACTTATGGGACCATTCAGTTGTAGGAGCAAATGGTACCCTAGCGAACCCATAATAGACAACAGCTGTAAAGAGTATGAAGCACGCATACCATGTGCTTTTTCCTCCATGTAATTGGCAAGTGCCGTCTCAATAACTCATATTTGTTCAGCATTGAGCAGTTTTAGGTATCAGCATTTATTGGTTTTTTTTTCCTCTGCAATTTATAAAATCGATTCCAGAGGTACTGAAATCTATGAAGGAGACCTAGTTTGGCCATATTCTAATTTTTGAAATTACATATTTGCAATTACCAGTAGTAGTGACAGCTATAAAAAGACGTTAGGAACAACAAGAGGATTGAATAATGCCTGAGGGAAATTAAGCTATAACCAATAAAAGTTGAATTAAAACTGAAAGACGTGTGATGATATGCATGTCTATCTAACTATATAAGGCTCTATACATTTATTTCTTCTTTATATCAACAATATATATTAAGATTCTGCTCACAATTTGCTGAGGAACCCTGGTGGCACACTGGTTAATTGAATGGCTAGCAGTTCAAAGGCACCAGCCTGTTCCACAAAAGAAAGATGTAACAGTCTCTTTTGATAAAAACTTACTTCCTTGGAAATCCTCTGGGCCATTCTACTCTGTCCTACAGCACTGCTAGGTGTTGAAATCAACTAGACAGAAATGGGTTTCTATAGAGCAGCATTCTGTTACTTTCTAGGGATTCCAAAGGAAATAATGGTTCTCATCTTTATTG